CATCGTCATCGCCATCATCATTGTCGTCATCATGATCACCATCATCATTTTTCTCGTGTATTATCTTCTCGTCTCCTCCCTACTGCCTTCTTTCATGCCACGCTGTCGTCTAGTGTTTTATCCATGTGCGAGTGCCGTATCATTTTTTGAAGCAAAACTAGTTCTTCAATCTCTCCGTTCCGTTATTAGAACAAATCTTCAAACTTTGCAGCTTTCTGTTGTTCAATGTTCTTGGAACCTTGCCTGGGCAACTGTTCCTGGACACGTTGCTTGACACTTGTTTATCGGAACCTTGCTTGGGAACCTGTTCTTGGGAGCCTATTCTTAGGAACCTGCTCTTGGGAGCATTGCCTGGTAACCTGTTCTTGGGAACTTTCTCTTGGAAACCTGTTCTTGGAACCGTTGTCTGCTTGCTTCAAACCTGTCCATTGGGACCTTGCTCGGGAACCTGTTTTTCGTAACTTTGCCTAGGAATCTTGTTTAGGAACCTGTCCTTCGGAACCTGGCTTGGGATTCTATTCTTGCTTCCAACCTTGCTTGCAGATGGTCTTCGAAATTTCGCTTTGCAAGTTGTTCTTGAAAAGCTGTTCCTGGGAACATGAACAACCTGAAACCATGCTTGGGAACATGTTCGTGGGAACCTGGCAACCTATTGCTTGGAACCTTCCTAGAGAATTTGTTCTTGGAACCCGAACCTGTTCTTGGGAACCTGTTCTTCGAACCCTTGCTTGCGAACCTGTTCTTGCGAAGCTTGCTTGCAAACCTGTCCTTGGGGAACCTTGCTTGGGGACCTGTTCGTGCAAACCTTGCTTGGGAACCTGTTCCCAAGAACCTTGCCGCTACCCTGCAAGGAAACCTGTTCTTGGAACCCTTGCTTGGGAACTTGAGGCACTGTTCTTGGAACCCTTGCTTGTGAACCTGTTCTTGCGAACCTTGCTTGGGAACCTGTTCTTGCGAACCTTGCTTGGGAACCTGGTCTTGCGAACCTTGCTTGGAAACCTGTTCCCAGGAACATTGCCTGGAAACCCCTTGCTTGCGAACATATTCTTGGAAACCTTTTTTGCAACCTTTTCTTGGAAACCTGTTCCTGGGAACCTTGCTTGGGAACCTGTTCCTGGCCTGGGAATTTTGCTTGGCAACTGTTTCTGGAACCCTTGCTTGGGAACCTTGCCTGGGAACCTGTTCTTGGGAACCTGGCTTGGGAATCGTTCCCGGTAACTTTGCTTGCGAACCTAAACCCGGAAAATGTGATTGCAAATCTTGTTCCTGGGGTGGCCGAGGACCCCAAGCAAGGTTAATTTCTTAGGAACCGATTGCAAGTACGGTTACCAGGTAACGGTTCCCAAGCAAGGTCCCAGGAACCGTTTCCAAGCAAGGTACCAAGCACGAACAAGGCTCGCAGAAAAAGGTTCTCAAGTAAGCGTCCCCAGGAAGAGCTGGTTCCAAGCAAAATTTCCAGGAACAACTGGGAACCCTTGCTTGCGAACCTCTTCCTGGGAACCTTGCTTCAGAACCTCTTCCTAGCAACCTTGCTTGAGAAGCTGTTCCTGGGAACCTTGCTTGGGAACCTTTTCCTGGTGCGGATTGTAAGGTGCACGGCCCTTAGGGTGCACGCGTCATGCCACAAGAGGTAGTCGGATAATGACTATGCTCAGTGGTATGGGTGGGCAGAGTATCATGTTTCACAGGTTATGAAGCCCAATGCACGCTGCCCAGTGCCCGCTTTGGATGAAGACCATGTGGAGAACTCATTTGGATAAGTGACGGCATTGATGTCGCACGGTGGCCTGCCAGTGCAAAAGGGCGGAGGAGCTGGAAAGCAAGTGGCCATGGCTGTGCCGATGTCAAAAGGGGGCCGCGCCCCAGAGGAGGAAGATGAGGTAGCCAGGAAGTGCAGAAGTCGTCTTCATTTGGATTCGAAACCCAAGCAACACAAGCGGGTCCTTGGCGTGGTGTCGCGCACGGGCGCGCCCGAACTCTGGTGAAGCGGAAGCCTGTGCTGACGCCAGGTGGAAGCGGATCTGGGGAGAGGGTTTGCGTAGCCGGCCCACCACCGGGGATCCTGAAAAACGCGTGCCAGATGCAGCCTGCTGCTTGTGCAAGCTGCAGGCTGGGGGGAGTGCGGATTGTAAGGTGCACGGCCCTTAGGGTGCACGCGCCATGCCACAAGAGGTAGTCGGATAATGACTATGCTCAGTGGTATGGGTGGGCAGAGTATCATGTTTCACACCTGGAAACATTGCCTGGGAACTTTTTCCAGCAACCTTACTTGTGAACCTGTTCTTGGGAAACTTGTTTGGGAACCTGTTCCTGGGAACTTGTTGCTGGGAACCTTGCTTGGGAACGTGCTTGGGAACCTTACGCCTTACTTGTGAACCTGTTCTTGGGAACCTTGTATGGGCACCTGTTCCTGGGAACCTGTGGCTGGGAACCTTGCTTGGGAACCTCTTCCTGAAAACCTTGCTTGGGAACCAGCTTGCTGGGAACCTTGCTTTGACACCTCTTCCTTGAAACCTCTTCTGGAAATACTTGCTTGAAAACCTGTCCTGGGAACTTTGTTTTGGTTGGAAAAACATGTTCCTGGAAATCTTGCTTGGGAAACTTGCTGGGAACCTTGCTTGGGAACCTCTTCCTGGAAACCTCTTCCTGGAAACACTTGCTTGAAACCCTGTTCTGGGAGCCTTGTTTTGCTTGGAAAAACATGTTCCTGGAAAACTTGCTTGGGAAACGGTTCTTGGGAACCTTGAAAACGGTTCCTGAAATCCGTGCTTGCAAAACCTGTTCCTGGGAACCTTGCTTGGGAACTTGTTCCTGGGAACCTCTTCCTGGGAACCTTGCTTGGGAACCTCTTCCCGGGAACCTTGCTTGGGAACCTCTTCCTGGGAACCCTTGCTTGGGAACCTCTTCCTGGGAACCTTGGGAACCTTGGGAACCTTGGGAACCTTGAGAACCCTGGGAACCTTGGGAATGTTGGGAACCTTGGGAACCTTGGGAACCCTGGGAACCTTGGGAACCCTGGGAACCTTGGGGGAATGGGTTTTGGAGCTGCTCCGGTCTGCTCCGAAACCTTTACTATGGCTGAAGACCCCAAAGCTTCTGCTGTTGGGGAATAAACAAACAAATGAATAACTATATATATATATTATTGTATATATATATATTTTATTGTATATATATATACATATTATATATAATATTTAAATTATCTAAAAAATATAAAATAATAATACTATATTATATTATATTATATTATATTATGTTATATTATATTATATTATATTACATTATATTACATTATATTATATTATATTACATTATATTGTATTATGTATTATTTAAAAATATATTTGTTCAAATAAATCAATAAATAAATCAATAAATAAATTAATATATGATGATAGGAAACTATGGAAAATCGATAGAAACAAATGGAAAAATCAATGCAAACCATGGAAAAATCGAGTGAAACCATGGAAAAACCAAGTGAAACCATGGAAAAACCGAGTAAAACCATGGAAACATCGGGTAAAACCATGGAAAAATCGAGTGAAACCATGGAACCATCGAATAAAACCATGGAAACATCGGGTAAAACCATGGGAAAATCGAGTGAAACCATGGAAACATCGAATAAAACAATGGAAAAATCGATAGAAACCATGGAAAAATCGATAGAAACCATGGAAAAATCGTGTGAAGCCATGGAACAATCGAATAAAACTAGGAAAAATCGTATAAAGACATGGAAAAATCGAGTAAAACCATGGAAAAATCGAGTAAAATCATGGAAAATTCGATGAACAGTGCAAAAAAAGAATAGTTCCAAAATGCAGCAAATCACAGATTGTAGCTCCAAAATGTAGCAAAACGCAAGGAAAAGTGTACTGGGCCGAAAACGAAAAACATTCCCCCAAAAAAAACAAAAACCCAAACAAATCTGCACCCGTATAGATAGATAGATAGATAGATAGATTGATAGAGTGGATAGATTGGATAGATTAGATAAATAAGATCGACTAGATAGATCGCTTAGATAGATTAATTTAGATAGATAGATAGATAGACAGACAGACAGACAGATAGATAGATAGTTAGATAGATAGATAGAGAGACAGACAGACAGATAGATCGATAGAATAGACAGAAGAGATAGAAGAGATAGAAGAGATAGATCGATAGATCGATAGATCGATAGATAGATAGATAGATAGATAGACAGAGAGAGAGATAGAGAGAGAGAGAGATAGATAGATAGATGGATGGATGGATAGATAGATAGATAGAGAGAGAGAGACAGACAGACAGACAGACAGATAGATGGATAGATAGATAGATAGAAAGATAGATGGATAGATAGATGGATAGATAGATAGATAGGTTAGATTTGATTAGGTTAGATGAGGTTAAATAGACAGATTTAATAGATAGATTAAATAGATAAATCGAATAGACAGATTAAATTGACAGATTCAATAGACAGACTAAATAGACAGATTAAATAGAGAGATTAAATAGAGAGATTAAATAGATAGACGAATAGATAAATTAAAAGGATAGATTAAATAGACATATAGATAGATTAGATAGAATAGATTAGATGGATTTGATTAGGTAGATTAGAGTAGATAGATTAGATTAGGTAGATTAGATTAGATAGACTAGGTTAGATCAGATACATTAGATACACTAGATAGATTAGATAGATTTGATTGGATAGATTCGATAGGTTGGATATGTTAGATAGATTAGATAAGATAAAACAAGATAAAACAAGATAAGCAAGATAAAACGAGATAAGATTAGATAAGATAAGATAAGATTAGGTTAGATTAGATAGATAGATAGATAGATAGATAGATAGATGGGTAAAGCGTGGTAAATCAACAAGAGCCACACAACCACAAAAGCCAGGCTGGAAAACAAAACAAATCCCCCTCAAACAAAAGGGAAAAATAGCAATCGTAGAAATATCCTCAGGACAGCACTGTCATCTGACACGCCTGCTTGGGTGCTTGCGGTTTAGGCGCCGCCTCACCATGATTCTGGGTGCATCGCCAGGACCGTTCATTGACAATATACTAACTTATGGTGCTGTTCCATGAAATGCTCAAACGTGCGTGCTACAAAATTTCCACTACTAACTTCTCACCGGTTCTTCCAGCTGGCCAAGTACAGTGTACCACCTACAAATGTCATCTCATATGTCTATCAGGTATGAGAGTGAGGCCACGAGCATCGATGCGCCCTGGCAAACTCCAATGACATCACCCTAATTCCTACAGATTCCTACATATTCCTACAACGGCCTGCAGATATCATCGCGCCTTCGCCTGGGAACGTTGCTCCGTCAGCAGCAGCTCACAAACACCAGGCGGCAAGTCGGTCACCTGCAGGTGTCCGTATAAGCGATAGAAATAAGGATTCAGCCAACTATCAGAGGTTTTAGATATAGCCATACAAGTTCTCGTGGAGGATAGAATGCATGTATATTGCATATCATATACGGTGTTAATGGACATTTTGTTTCATGCATTTTCATGCAATAGATTGCGGTATGACTGTATGACTGAATCACGCAACCCAGTAGGCATGGACTGCAGACATTGAGACCACAGCAAGCACACGAGGCGAACCTGTTCAAGAATATATATATATATATGTAATGTTGACGTGCTATTTAAAAACCCCATCCCAAACATTAAGAGCATCTAAATAAAGTTTAGGCCAAACAATGGCCTGGGGTCCCTGGACAATTTTCCAGACCTATGTGGCGCCGAACAAATTGTCTAATTGAAAACGAATACATAAGTGGACTTTTCTTTGCATTTTAGTATTCCCAAATGAATTGCCTAATTGAAAACAAATACATCAGTTACATAAGTAGACTTTTCTTTGCATTTTAGCATTCCGAAAAGAAATTGACCATTTGAGCCTCTTCTTGATTCTTTTTCAAACTCACAACTTTCCAGGCAAGGCTGTTCCAGCTTCCAGCTCAAAGGTTCTTGAAGGCTTCAGAAAGGGTTTAAGGAAGGGTTGCCCATCGAAAACCGTGGGAGCTTATTTCAAAATACTTTATTTGCCCCCCCTAAATAAAGTATTTGGTTCATGTGGGATGATTTGAACATCTGATTTTTGTGAAAGGGGTTCAAATAGGAACCCAATTGAGGAACGAATTGAACCACGAAAATTGAAGTTCTTGGAAACCAAATAATTAGTTCATCTCTTTATTTGGGGGGTCAAAACGAAGAAACACACGAATTAAAGGACCGGATAGCATCACAAGCCAACTTCTTCCAATAATGAGCAACAAGTGTTGTAGCGGGGAACGGGGAAGGAAGGAAAGACACAGGAGGCGGTGGAGGATCGAGAAGTAAGACAAGTTGTATGTGAAGAGTTGTGTGCGACAAAGTTGCATGTGAAAGATGGTGTTGCAAAGAAAGATGGTGGGCAAAGACCAACAAGACCCAGCCTCGCCCTTTTGCACGAAGCAAATGAAAGACATCACTGTGCGATGCGATCGGCCCTACAGCAATCTCCACACGCAAGTGTCACACGCGAATGTCACAAGCATTGCCAAGTCCCCAATGTCACCAAAAATCTTCACATGACAAAAGACATGAAACGTCGCACGTTGCATCAGCCCATGCTCTATAGGGTGTAAACAACATTATCTCCAAACAGAAAAGACTTGACAACACAGCACGGCCGAAGCTACTGCGCACTCCTTGCTGGCGAAGATATTTTTTTCACGGCAACAAATGGTTCTTCACGCATACTCAAAGATATGTGCAGTACAAGCAAAAAACATATCAAGCAGAAACATATCTTGCCCTCAAGGAATCTCAGTGAAGGTCATGCGAACAGCGTCGCTTTCATCGCGTTTGACATCCAGCAGGTGCCTGGCAGCAATGCGAGCGACATGCAAAGAAAGCGGTCTACCAAAACATGGACAAAACATCGAACAACTCTGACAGCAAAGAAAGTGGTCTACCAAAAACTTAAGCGCCTGGTTTGCACGTTGCCCGTGGGCTCCCGCATCTTGGGCCAGCGCCTGACAAAGTACCTGCTGTCAATTCGCAATCATAAAGCAGCAAAAACATTCTCACAGCTCGTTGGCCCAGTCTCACAGCTTTTAAACGAAAAAGAAACCAAGACGGACGCCAAGAATCAGAGAGTATATATGAATAATTATATGAATACATCTAAGATCATCTAAGTATATATATATATATCTCTCTCTCTCTCTCCCTCCCTCCCCCTCCCTCCCCATATAATTAAACAGAAGTAAATCAAAGTATATATGCCACATATCACAGTTTGTGGTGCGTTTCCTCGTCTGCGAACAAACACCAACAAACAATGCAAGTTCCCACCTTGCCCAAAGAGCAATGACTTGTGATCACCTGGCAAATTTCCATAAGCAAATCGAAAGCATCCACAGACATTGACGTCTCAATTGCCGTGCAAATCATGCCACAACATTCATGTAGCCAAACCTGGCCCGCAATTATTATTTTGACCTTCGGCTTCCGACTAGTAGCACGCGGCTCCCAAGCAAACGCTGGCATCCACTCTTCGCTGTGAGATTACCGGAAGTCACAGGCGCATGAGAAACCAAAAGCACATGGTCGTTATCCAGTTTTTTTGCACTGCTAACGTGAACTGCGGCGCACGCGATTTCTTCCCACGTTGGGTCAAAATCAAGACTCGTCGATTCAATTGGTGGGATGAAGTGTGCCAGCATCTCCAGTGCTGGTCTCCAGTGTTGCATTGATGTATGAGTTCCAAAGGAAGGTTATTCATGCGCCAGAGTTCCGTACGCAAGTTCTTCAAGATATCAATGCAAGCGTCCACGCGCTGAAGCGTCACTCGACAGTAGGTCTGCACAGCTACTGTAGTACGAGGAGAAATGGATCGTAGTTCGGTCTGATCAAAATCCAATCTGCGTCGAGCAGCTTCTAAGGTTTCAATCAGAGACCAGGCCTCATGCTGCGCTGAGGTCTGCAACTGTTGCCATTCCATGGGCTGACGACAAGTGTGCTTAATGCTCAAATATAGATATCAGATTAGGGAATGAGTATGTTTGGCTCTGTTTGAGCCTGCGGAAAATTTTGCGACATGCAAAGCGTTTGCAGAATCGAAGAGGCCATAAAGCATCGAACAACTCTGGCAGGGCTCCATCATCTTGGGCCAGCGCCTGACAGCAAAGAAAAACCATCAAACACCGACAGTTAGTGAAGTCTTGACAAACACGCTGTTCAAAATCAGCAGTGAGCAAACCGCATTCCGTCGGAAGAGAATGGAAACATCGAAAAACTGACAGAAACAACCACGAACTCAGATGAAAGCCATGCCTGTCCTACAGCCACGGGCGCGACGACCATGACGGATGAGAATAGTACCTGGCCGGAAAAGTACAAAACATGCCAGCATTGCTTCCAGAACGTAAACGTGCCAGCAACACTTCCAACACATGCCCAAGCAAAACACGCCAAAACGTGCCAGCATCGCTTCTAGACCGTTTTTATTCAATCATGCGCAAAGCCTCTTGCAACGTTGGGCCAAAGCGAAACATGCCAAAACATGCCAGCAACGCTTCTAGACCGTTTTGATCAAACATGCACAAGGCCTCTTCCCACGTTGGGCCAAAGCGAAACATGCCAAAACATGCCAGCAACGCTTCTAGACCGTTTTGATCAAACATGCACAAGGCCTCTGCCCACGTTGGGCCAAAGCGAAACATGCCAAAACATGCCAGCATCGCTTCTAGACCATTTTGATCAAACATGCAGAGGGCCTCTTCCCACGTTGGGCCAAAGCGAAACATGCCGAAACATGCCAACATCGCTTCCAGAACGTAAACGTGGCAGCATCGCTTCTAGAACGTTTTTAGCAAACATGCACAAGGCCTCTTCCCACGTTGGGCCAAAGCGAAGAAAACATGCCAAAACATGCCAGCATATGCCAGCATCGCTTCTAGACCGTTTGGAACCGAGTGGCTGAATCACTACCCTTTGTTTCTGCTGCGGTGTGGTGTTGCTGATCTGTCATAGACAATAACTTTCACATCGTGTCGTGATATTGTGTGTAGCAGTGTAGCAGTGTTTGACAATGTTTCGACTTCAGCGCTGAGCATGAGCCACGAAATTCACAGTCATATACAAAGCTGTGTGTGACAGATGGTGTGTGACAAAGTTGTGTGTGACAAAATGTGTAGCAGATTGTAGCAGTGTAGCAGTGTTTGACAATGTTTCGACTTCAGCGCTGCACATGAGCCACGCAATTCACAGTCATATACAAGAAGTTGTCTGTGACAATGCCGCAAGTGCCATGCCTGCCACGCAAAACGCGCCACCAGAGCCAGCCCAGTGCCCCAAGTGCCACACCTGCCACGCAAAATGAAGGTGGATGTCACCAAGTGCCACGCCTGCCACGCAAAACGAAGGTGGATGTCGCCAAGTGCCACGCCTGCCACGCAAAGTCGGGCGACCAAGCGCGCGACCAAGTGGCCACCAGAGCCAGCCCAGTGCCCCAAGTGCCACGGCTGCCACGCAAAACATCGCAAAACGAAGGCAGATGTCACCAAGTGCCACGCCTGCCACTCGAAACCAAGGTGGGGTGCCATGCCTGCCACGCAGAGTGGCGCGCCCCGGGCGACCACCAAGCGCGCGCCCAAGCGCGCCACCAGAGCCAGCCCAGTGTCGCAAGTGCCACGCCTGCCACGCAAAACGAAGGCAGATGTCACCAAGTGCCACGCCTGCCACGGAAAGTGGTGCGGCGCCTCGGCGACCAAGCGCGCCCAAGCGCGCCACCAGAGCCAGCCCAGTGCCGCAAGCGCCACGCCTGCCACGCAAAACGAAGGCAGATGTCACCAAGTGCCACACCTGCGACGCGAAACCAAGGTGGATGTCACCAAGTGCCACGCCTGCCACGCAAAGTGGTGCTGCGCCCCGGGCGACCAAGCGCGTGCCCAAGCGCGCCACCAGAGCCAGCCCAGTGCCGCAAGTGCCACGCCTCCCACGCAAAACAAAGGCAGATGTCACCAAGTGCCACGCCTGCCACGCAAAACGAAGGCAGATGTCACCAAGTGCCACGCCTGCCACGCGAAACCAAGGTGGCTGTCACCAAGTGTGACAAAGTTGTGTGAGTGAGATGGTCGGAGAAAGATGGTGGGTGACAAAGTTGCGTGTGAAAGATGGTGTGTGACAAAGTTGTGTGAGTGAGATGGTGCGTGAAAGATGGTGTGTGACAAAGTTGTGTGAGTGAGATGGTGTGTGAAAGATGGTGTGTGACAAAGTTGTGTGAGTGAGATGGTGTGTGAAAGATGGTGTGTGACAAAGTTGTGTGAGTGAGATGGTGTGTGACAAAGTTGTGTGTGTGAGATGGTCGGAGAAAGATGGTGGGTGACAAAGTTGCGTGTGTGAGATGGTGTGTGACAAAGTTGAGTGAGTGAGATGGTGTGTGAAAGATGGTGTGTGACAAAGTTGTGTGAGTGAGATGGTGTGTGAAAGATGGTGTGTGACAAAGTTGTGTGAGTGAGATGGTGTGTGAAAGATGGTGTGTGACAAAGTTGGTGTTTGAAAGATGGTGTGTGACAAAGTTGTGTGAGTGAGATGGTGTGTGACAAAGTTGTGTGTGTGTGAGATGGTGTGTGACAAAGTTGTGTGTGTGAGATGGTGTGTGAAAGATGGTGTGTGACAAAGTTGTGTGAGTGAGATGGTGTGTGAAAGATGGTGTGTGACAAAGTTGTGTGAGTGAGGTGGTGTGTGACAGAGTTGTGTGTGTGAGATGGTGTGTGACAAAGTTGTGTGAGTGAGATGGTGTGTGAAAGATGGTGTGTGACAAAGTTGTGTTTGTGAGATGGTGTGTGACAAAGTTGTGTGAGTGAGATGGTGTGTGAAAGATGGTGTGTGACAAAGTTGTGTGAGTGAGATGGTGTGTGAAAGATGGTGTGTGACAAAGTTGTGTGAGTGAGATGGTGTGCGAAAGATGGTGTGTGACAAAGTTGTGTGTGTGAGATGGTCGGAGAAAGATGGTGGGTGACAAAGTTGCGTGTGAAAGATGGTGTGTGACAAAGTTGTGTGTGTGAGATGGTCGGAGAAAGATGGTGGGTGACAAAGTTGCGTGTGAAAGATGGTGTGTGACAAAGTTGTGTGAGTGAGATGGTGTGTGAAAGATGGTGTGTGACAAAGTTGTGTGAGTGAGATGGTGTGTGAAAGATGGTGTGTGACAAAGTTGGTGTGTGAAAGATGGTGTGTGACAAAGTTGTGTGAGTGAGATGGTGTGTGACAAAGTTGTGTGTGTGTGAGATGGTGTGTGACAAAGTTGTGTGTGTGTGTGAGATGGTGTGTGACAAAGTTGTGTGTGTGAGATGGTCGGAGAAAGATGGTGGGTGACAAAGTTGCGTGTGAAAGATGGTGTGTGACAAAGTTGTGTGTGTGAGATGGTGTGTGACAAAGTTGTGTGTGTGAGATGGTGTGTGACAAAGTTGTGTGAGTGAGATGGTGTGTGAAAGATGGTGTGTGACAAAGTTGTGTGAGTGAGATGGTGTGTGAAAGATGGTGTGTGACAAAGTTGGTGTTTGAAAGATGGTGTGTGACAAAGTTGTGTGAGTGAGATGGTGTGTGACAAAGTTGTGTGTGTGAGATGGTGTGTGACAAAGTTGTGTGAGTGAGATGGTGTGTGAAAGATGGTGTGTGACAAAGTTGTGTGAGTGAGATGGTGTGTGAAAGATGGTGTGTGACAAAGTTGTGTGTGTGAGATGGTCGGAGAAAGATGGTGGGTGACAAAGTTGCGTGTGAAAGATGGTGTGTGACAAAGTTGTGTGAGTGAGATGGTGTGTGAAAGATGGTGTGTGACAAAGTTGTGTGTGTGAGATGGTCGGAGAAAGATGGTGGGTGACAAAGTTGCGTGTGAAAGATGGTGTGTGACAAAGTTGTGTGAGTGAGATGGTGTGTGAAAGATGGTGTGTGACAAAGTTGTGTGTGTGAGATGGTCGGAGAAAGATGGTGGGTGACAAAGTTGCGTGTGAAAGATGGTGTGTGACAAAGTTGTGTGAGTGAGATGGTGTGGGAAAGATGGTGTGTGACAAAGTTGTGTGTGTGAGATGGTCGGAGAAAGATGGTGGGTGACAAAGTTGCGTGTGAAAGATGATGTGTGTGACAAAGTTGTGTGAGTGAGATGGTGTGTGACAAAGGTGAGTGGAGCGGACGGGACCCCACACAAAGATGTGGGGAAAAACAAGAACAAAAAAACGGGGAGAAAAAAACGAAAAAAAAACAACCCAAAAATCGGTTGGCGTACTTATATAACTACGGGGAGGTTTTTTTTTTCCCGGGATCTGCGTGCTCAATTGCGAGGGGTTTACTAATGGCACCCGGAGATTATATAATAGCTTTTGAAACAGCCACCTCTTACTGGGATAATCACAAATAATCATCCCAAATATGTCTTCCTCAAGTGAATTCGCCAAGCAGTTGAAACGCCATTGTCGTTGGTCGAGTCTTATCACCAGTCGTGACCTGTCGGTCACGCCAGCCGGGGCCTGGGGGTGCTCAGCAAGCAGTGCTTGCATTTGAGCCTCCCAGTGACAGCGCAGAAACTGCTTCAAATGGGCTTCCCAGGTGTATATCATGTGTATATATGTGTATGTGATTGATGCTCAGCATAGTGTATTGAAACAATACAGCTTGACATTGTCCAGTTACAGTACCAGGTTGCATTCTCTTGGCAGGGGCAACCGAAACAATTCATTCGCAAGACGCGCAGTCATATATAGTCTTTCATTGATGACTTAGAGGGAGAGACTTAGAGGGAGAGAAATATCAACAATCACAACACTCACTAACTCCTCAGCTGAAGACATTTTCTGTTTGGTTGGCGCTTCACTACTTTTTGGAGGACTCAGTATCCAAACGAGCTATTCAACATCTCCGTAGCATCAGCATCCATCAGCGCCCACAGCAGCGACAAGAGCCTTCAACCGTTGTCGACCAGCAGCGATGCGACGGTCCGTCTCTTCTTGTTGTTCTGTGAGCCATGTCCTGGACCAGCTCTTCACATGACCAACTTCAACATCATTCCAAATTGATTGCACCAAGCTTTGCTGGACCCAATCACTGCAGAAAACCAGCCATTCCTTTCATCCGGTTCGACTCAACTCGGCAAGCCTGGCAGTTTTGCCCGGCAATCGCAAGAACTGCCCTGAAGTTGCCACCCACTGCGAATTCCTGGAGCTTGTGACCGGACAAGCTGAAGACTTCAAGATATGGCGGCTCAACAAAAATCTTAAGCAATATTGAGCAATGACATTTTGAGCCTTATATAAACATCCTTAAACATCCTCCAACTATCATTTTCTAATCCCTTTTCTTTGGTCAATCATTGGAGCATTGGTCAACCATAAGATCCTTCTCAACGCACCTTGCAGGCGCTTCGTTCCGACGAAAGGCTCCTAGAGCCTGGAGATGGTGTAGTGGGTTGAATGGCTTGAAATCGTTCTTGGGACACAGCCCAAGTATACCCAAGTGATTTGAGATGATTTGAGTCATTCAAAAACAATGTCGGGCGAAGATGATGAAGTCAGTGAGGCAGAGAGCTGGGCACAGACACACTCAGTTATCACATCACACACACACACACGCGCACAGAGATGCTTTTATTCGCAGAAAGGCTCATGCAAAAGACCGGAAACTGCCAGTGGATGCAAGGGGTTTGTCAAACATATCACTGCAACACAACTTCAATGTTTTCTTAACCTTCATGGTGATAACACCCTCAATGCAGCACAGGAATGACCCACAGCTCTTGGCAGTGTCTGGTTCAGAGGAGGCTCGTCGATGAGCAAGAACCGACTTCAAACTTCAAACCCAGTACGACTATACTCCGATGCTTCAAGGGCCCTTTGGGCCCAAGGACAATGCAGTGAAACAAAGAAGCTGCAAAAAAACATGGTGCAGAAGTTCTTCACAGAGCACATGGTGAACTAAATTTGTGAATTGATGCATGTTTCATACCAATTGCACCAAGCAGGTAAGAACGTTTCGTGTCTTTTCCTGAGCTGCAAAAAGCAGAAGCGGCGGTCAGCCGTGAATTTATTCTCTCAGCACCATTGTAGTGGGTCCTTTCCTTGGGTGCAGCGGCCATGTCTTCTTTTTTGCTGGCAGCCAAACGTCCCACCGATCCGCGAATGATAGTAGTTGTTCGCACATGTTACATGTTGTGTTGCTGGCAAAATCTCCTAATTCAAACCACACATTGTGCAGGTGTTGTGAAGGTCTTACCATGCTTCAACAACTTCAAGCTTTTTGTTCTTAGACCCCCGCTCCCAGCAATAGCAACCCAGAAACGCGAGGTGGGTCGTGTGCCATCATGGAGGTACTCCACCCGGCCCTCCACCAACTCCTCCCAGAACTTGCCATAGTTGCCCAGCTGAATCTTCCCGGCGGTGGCTGGGATATGCTTCCCTGGATGGATGACACCACTCCGCACACCGATCTTCTCGTAGAGCACGTCGAACCAAGCCTAATTGTGGCGTGCAAAGAGTGGGGAAGTGCAAAATGGTGCTGGGCGTCTAATTTATTGATGCAATGCTAGGTATGTATCTATGTACATCGGCAATCCTTTACACACAAAATACCAATATTGTGATATGATATATGCATATGTGCATCTATGTATTTTATACATTTGGGATTTCTTCTTTCACACTATATAGCACTCAAAATTCTGCAATATGACACCCGTGACATGTAGCAACAAGTATGCAATGGCATATATGAATGTAATTATCTACCAGGTTCGGGGACCCCCCCTCCCCCCCCATGGTCATGGTTCCCCCCTCCCCCCTGTGGATGTGGGAGTTGGGTGGGTCCTGTAGGTAGTAATGTGAGTAAAATGAATGTATGTATGTAATGTATGTAATGTATATGTAATGTATGTAATGTATGGTATGGTATGGTATGGCATGGTATGGTATGGTATGGTATCGTATCGTATGGTATGGTATGGTATGGATGGATGTATGTATGCGTGTATGTATTAATGTATGTAGCAATGTATGTAATGTATGTAATGTAATGTAATGTAATCTAATGTGATGTAATGTAATGTAATGTAATGTATGAGATTTGATGTGATGTGATGTGATGTAATGTAAATGTAAGTAAGTATGTATGTATGACTGACTGACTGACTGACTGAATGAATGAATGAATGTATGACTGTGTGTATGCAAGTATGTAATGATGTAATGTATGTATGCCTGTCTGTCTATATGTATGTAGGCATGTGGGTATGTAGGTATGAAAGTATGTATGTAAGTATGTAGGTAGGTATGTAGGTATGTAGGTAGGTAGGTAGGTATGTATGTAGGCAGTTGGTAGGTATGTAGGACTGCAGGTATGTAGGTATGTAGGTCTGCAGGTATTTAGGTATGTAGCTACCTAGGTACGTAGGTATGTATGCATGTAGGTATGAAGGTATGTAGGTCTGTATCTATATAGGTATGTTGGTATGTTGGTATGGAAATATGAGGTTTTGCATCCAAAATGCTGTACATACCATGGAAATATGAGGTTCTCCATCCAAACTGGTGCAAATACCATGGAAATAGGATGTTTTGCATCCAAACTGCTGTAAATACCATGGAAATGAAAGTAGGGGACCATACCATTGGGGGGTGTGGGGGGGGGCTACGGGACCAGGGACCGGATCATATATAGAGGTATATGTACACTTTAATGGTGAACCTGCTCACTATGCTCGCTATCACCCCCTTCGATTGGCAGGTAGTCTTCTCATAATTCAACCTCAAACGGTTCCATTTTCCATATGCTAAAACATGCACGGCATGGCACATTTACCTTTGGAAAAATTTATGACGTCAGTGTACCCGCAGACCGGGGGTGCCGCCCAAAGGTTTATCGTGGGACCAGCTCTTTAGGGTTTGCTTACGGTTTGTTTAGGATTTCTTTTGGTTTTCGGAGGTTTTACCATGGTTTCAATAAGATTTTACTTTCAAGGCTTAGTTAGGGTGTCATGTGAGATTTAGGTTTTAGAGTTTAGGATTTAGTGTTTAGGGTCTCTCTCTCTCCATCGCCATCTCCAGGACTCTAGGGTTCTGCGCTTTGGAAACAAGTCTCATCAGCCAAGTTGCCATTTCACCGACATACCAACATGCAAAAAACACTGGCCCTGCGCAGTAAAAATCCACTTCGCCGGGCAGCAAACCCGTCCCGGCCGTAAATGTACATTACATAAACCCACCAAAAAATACATGATCTGGCTTTTTCATGGCTTTGCCCAGATCATCTGCCAAGGCGCTGGCAGATCCTTTGGGTTAATGACCGCATCGAAGCCCGTCACTGTGATGCCATCACGCGTCCGTTCACGAAGGTCGGTACGAACACTCACCTGAGCTGATGGGAGCGGAGCATCGATGGTCGGTTGGGATGGGATAACATGGGGATCATATGTGGATATATGTGGTATTAACATATCATACATATACAAGGCATATGATATGTAAATGTGAAAATATCAATACATAAATAGATAGAATAGAATAGAACAGAACATAATTAGAATAGAATAGAAAAGAATTCAAAGATAATAGAACAGAGTATAGTGGAAAGAAAAAAGAACAATAGATAGATAGATTAGATATTATATCAGATGATATGATATACATATAAATATGATATATATATATGCACATACAGAGATACATGATATGCAAATACAGACTATCTTATACTAAGCTGACTGTGATGAATAATGTCTGGTGACCTGACTACAACTGACCTTTCAAACGACTTCAGAGACCCAGTGACGCTGCGGTGGAACTCCGACAGAATCAACGCGACTTCTTCCCAGTCGAAATTGCCCACTACCTTGGTTGGATGGGAAAGATATGGAAAACATACAGTGGAAACCTTTCGGAAGCACCAGCGAAATGGCAAGATGGTCACCTAGTAGAATGTTAGTATATCATAAGAACGTTTCTGGTCCCAAACCTAGTTCAACATACTATCAGGCTCAGGCTGCGCAGCATTAAATTTCACTAAATCATGCCTGACTCTGCAGTGTTCACTGCCAAAGTTGCAAGCAGTTCGATGTCGATGTTGCCTGCAGGGTGTCCATTTTTCCCATGACATGGCCATGGTGATGCAGGGTGCATGGCTTGACAGGGCCCACCTGAGAGATTCCAGCCATTCACTTCCAGGATCCATGAGGTGCGAATGGATGTCATGACGTCCGACAAGCTGTCAATGCCACTCACGCCAAAGCCAAGAAATCCTAAGGGTAGCCATTGCACACAGTACCACACAGTGGTGAAACATCAATGTTGGGCAGCTGCAAATCATCTCCCTTCATTGGGGATAATTTGGGGGTAATTGGGCTCCCTGGCATATGATATGATATGATATGGTGGGGATATTCGGATTCCATTGAACTCAGTATGAATCCACTCTCCATCACGACTATATATTGTTGATACTGCTCCACTTTGTGCCCTTCTGATACGTTGTGGCCAAATTACAGTAGCTTCCAAACAGGAACTGCGAAAAAGTAACGTGCAGCACCGGAAAACATCAAACAAGGCTCGTAGACGGTACCCTAAACAGGTCTGGTCCATCTGGTCTTCGTCTGCAACCTGCACGATTCCGGTGCTGGAGCTGAGAGAACTTGGAACCCCAAGACAGGAGCTTGTCTGGTTCAGCTCCGTGGACATGAAGAAATTGGCGCCCTGATGCGCCCTGCCATTCCTCTCTTCGGCAGGTATATAATTCAAAGAGTAGTGGGAAATTCCAGAGCTATGCAAACATGGCGGATGTCCCACTCCTGGGTTAGGACCCTAAGCGTATCTGCACAGCATGCGCAAGTTGGGGCTTGGATTGAACCCCAAGCGACCTATGGGAGTCCGCTGCGATCACCAAGTGACTGGATCAAAGGTCACATACTTCCGCTCCACTTTACCGGGTTCGATGTGCATCGTGGCCAAGGCGCTGGAGCGCCAGTTTTGAAGGCCTTCCGCCTCGATGTAGCTGGTGATGTCCTCATCCCGGGCTTGGGCGATGAACTTTCAAGGAACATTGGTTCAAGAAAATGGCGCATTCATAGATCCAACAAATGGGTTGGAAACCCGTGTTCTTTTACATGTTTGGTTTTCTAGGGTAGTCTTGGGGGTTCCATGGATTTCCTGCACATGTCGGACATGTCGCCTTCAATTCTACGTGGGGGTGGCAACAGTGAGGATAAACAAAAATAGGTTGAAGTGAAGCCCAAACAACATATGCAAATGGCTCAGCCCCAAGCTTGCGGCATCCCTGCTACTGGTAGGGTGGGTTCATCCTGGGTGTTGAAAACTTGGCAACTCATGGTGTGGTGAACTAACTGCTGAAACACAAACCATCATTTGCGTATGCCTGAGGCTTGGGACAAAATAACACAAGACAACTTACTGTATGAACATTGACCATTCTTGATGATCAAAACCATCCAATGTTGGTGGCAGACCATGATAGACCAACTTGGAGGCATGCTGATAATCTATGATAATTTGATCATCCCTGGGAATGCCTGGGAATGGTTTCCTTTCCATCTCCCATTGATGGTTTCCATGCTAATTCACCTGGGGACCTGGGGCAATTCACGGTACTGGGACTAGCTACGCTTAGGGTCTTATCATCAACCAGTGGACCAGTCTATCCCCAGGTGTCCCATATTTTCCAATGAATTTCTCCGCTGTTGAGGTATCCACCTGGAACAAGCACAAGGGTCATACATGGTGGTCGCTGGGCTCAATGGTTGCGACTTCATCTCGATCTTCACTAGTCGGTTTGCTTGTGTCTTCAGCTCCACCTCGCCGCGGAGTGCATTTTTTTCTGGTGGTTGGGCTGGTGGGGCCACCCAACCACCTGGGGTCTAATTTTTCTGAAAGTCACTTGGGGTCCTTAAGAAAACTGAGGAGAGTAAACCTGAAATTAGCAACAATTAGCAACTAGAGTGTTCTGAAAGTATTAACATCCAAGTATCTGCAACGTTTTTTTTTGGTTTTTGTTTCTGTACCAATGAGATGCTATCAATTTGCATATCTGCTGTGGCTGGCTCTCCTCCGATGATAATCATATTCATTCGGCTGATTCCATCCGTATCTGACAGCCCGACCATTCAGTTTTTTTGGGCCACTTTCACCCGTCCTAATGACAATTAAACATGATTATATATATATATTAATATATATAAAATTTCAAATCGACCCACAAAAGCACATGGCTGATATCTCTCCAGACCTCTGTGATGACCCATTTGTCATCAAAGGCCAAGGTCCAGAAATTGCCTCGGCTAATCCGACGGATTTTTTGTCCAGGTTGCTTGTTAAAAGGTTGCATCCATGGCTACAGAAACTGAGATGGCCGCCCATGCCTGTCAAGCTACTGTCCCCTCGTCGAGCTTCTGCGACCTTCCCAGAGCCACGCTCAACGGCTTGAAGGGCCACGACATACTCAATGAACCAACCTTTGGTCGGATTCACGTTGCTGGTTGAAAAACAGCATCCTTCAATGCTGGTTGGACTTGCACCTTCGTTTTTGTTCTTTTTCACCGTAACGGACTCGAAGTCTTATGATGTAGGTGCTTTGGGCTTAACTATATGGATATCGTGCAAGTATGCAAAGCCTCAAAAGCTGCAGGGATTTTCAAATCTGGCACCCATGTGGAATGTAAAGTGCTGAGAAGGGTGTTGCATCATATGTATCATCTTGTTCAACTTACTTTTTCTGACCGGGGAGTGCGCCTTCGTAAAACATACTGTACCAGTCCGTTAAGGGATTATCTTCTAAACTAGGGATGGGCAACAAAAGAACTTCGAAATGACCAACCAGTAATCATCCAAAGAACCATGCTGAGACCAGAACGTGAACATGCGGCGTTTTCTCATCTTACGCTTCCCCTATGTCCACCCTGACAAACGGTCAGGACTTGAACCAAACAGTGAACCAAATTGCAAACTGTTGCAGAAAACTGTTGAAGAATGGCATCTGGAGGCTATATTGTTTTGCAATATCTTTGATTGGGTATGGCATGGTATGGCTCAGAAGTAGGGTCCCAATTGCATTTGGGGGGTCAATAACTTCAAACCATACTACATGTGGTTTTCTATACATAGTTTTGTCTGGTGTTGCGTGGACATCCCATGGAGTTCCGCCGTTCCGCCTATTTGCCCTCTAGAAGTGTCACAGCAAGCGCTAAAAATCGTAAGTCCAATTCCAAGTGTTCGCAACTATGAGTGTTTATATGAATGTTAAATGATATATACACACACACACACATATATATATATATATCTGGGCAAATTATAATAATTTACTAACCTGAATTAAGGCCATTTGGGGATGATTTCCTTACTAACCATGATTCCAGGGTTCGGTCACAGTGAGGTCGTGATGAAATTTACCCAGATATATATATATATACATAGTCAAATACCATCTGGTTATTTAACATAGCCATGGAAAATGGCCCATTTATAGATGGTTTACCTATTAAAAATAGTGATTTTCCATGGCTATGTTAAATAACAAGATGGTAACTTTTGCATCTAAAACCCCCTTCATCCCTCCACTTCCATCCGCGCGGCCATCCTGCGTCCAGCCGTGCGCCGCCACCCGCACGGAGGCGCCTAAGGTGATGCCGTCGTAGGCGGGGCGGTCCACTGGCGCGCGGTGCTTCTCCTTGTCACAGGAAATGATGGGAAACATATGGGAAAATGTGGGTAACATGTAAGGAATATGATAGGAAATGATGGAACATATCATGGGAATATCTATATTGTTGTTCCTGACATGAAACGGAGCTCAATTTCTGAATCATATCTCAGGAAATAGATGGGGTACATCATTAACAAATGATGGCAATCATGTCATCAGCAAACTCATCCTATTAATCCAGGGAATCCTATCAGGAAAACATATGGGGACACAATTCAACAAGCGATGCGAATTATCACAGAATACAGCCAATGATCAGCAAAAAGATACACCATCAAATCAGGCATTGGAAAATCAACATTTTTCAATAGGCTGTAGAAATGCTTCTTTCATTGCCATGGGAGATACCCAAATGGCAATGCCAACACAGAAAACCTGATGCTGTAGCAACACGAGGATAAAACAATCTTTTGATTGACCCATTTGACATCATTTGATCCTCGCAACAAGACATGTAGTTTTTCACCAAGGGCATCCTACACCAATCGTTTTATCCCCTTGGCCATGGTGAAATCGCTGAAATTGTGCCGCTTGAGTGAGTTGATGGGCCGCTGCCAAGCGTCCCACAGCTTCTCAATCAGTTCACCTCAGAGTGCTGCTCCCACGCGACAAATTAAGCATGCCATACAGTAGTGACTTTTTTCCAAAATGGACTATGAAATGGGAGGCCCTCTTTGTTTGGGGCACAGGCAATGTTGGGAACATTCGAGTTGACACTAAATGAGGTAGCTAAAGCGTTTGCAAAGAATCAGCCAACATGCGCCCACATGTTCCCACATATATACATATATACATATAAACATATAAACATATATATATACATATACATATATACATATAAACATGTATATATATATATATATATGATATATGTACATATGTAAACACACACTCACATCTCTCTCTCTCTCTCTCTTCTCTCTTCTCTCTTCTCTCTCTCTCTCCATCGCCATCTTCAAGAGTGTAGCGAAGGGCTAAAGGCGAGCCATTGGCCCAATGCCTCTCTCTATCTCTGCCTTTTATTATTGCTTTTTGTGGGTAGGTAGGAGCAACCAGCTTAGCAGCCAGTCAGTCAGTTCCAGATGTTCAAGTAGTATATCCTATCCAAAATCGCGAGCATCAAGATGATCAAGGATTATTCCACGCCAAGCCCAGTGGCTTTACCTGGCGCCAAGTCACCCCACAACGTCCCAGATCTCACACGCACGGTGTCCTCGGTCCACTCCACCACGCCGCTCCAATAGGCGCCCAGCGCAATGTAGCTCTGGTTCGCAGGAGCCAATTGGCCGCTTAAGTGATAGACACAGCCTTCACCAACCTGGCTAGGATTCACAATTGATCTGAAAATAGGCCCAAATTCTCACGAGATCGATCATCTCTCTACGGCCTCTCCCAGAGTTCAGTCATAGATTGAAGGCAAGCCAGTGGCCCAGCCCCCAGAAACTATGTGTCAGCCAGTGAGCTCCGTTGCAAGCCGCGTCAATCACTTCCCCATTTTTTTTTGGTGATATCCCTTAGTTTCAATTTTCGACTCACCAGGGATCCAACAAGTCTGAACAATTGGGGGTTAAAACCGAACTGGATATGGGATAGAATAAGTGTTCAAAGATCTTCGGGCTGCAGTGGCTTGGTTGGGACGTAGGTAGGTTGATGTACCTTGAAATGATTGAGAAAAGGGGGATGGAAGCAAGAAATAGTGCAGGGAGAATAGGGGAGACCAACAAGACTGAAGGACAAACTACATGCTTGTGGATCTGCCAATGTCTCTCCGTTGGATTCTCTCAAGTAGCAGCCAAACATACTATAAAATTGGAGCCAAGGTACTTCAAATCCATCCAAAAACGAACACGAAACACATGGGGAAAGCATAATTTTTCGATACAATGCGGTGGCGTGAGGCCAGCATTGTCCTCACATGTCTTCGTCGATTTAATGGGGTCAAACACATGAGCCTGTCATGGGGTATGAGGGGTATGATGATGGATCATTAGGGCATGACATGTTATTACATGTCATTACATATTACCGTATACATCCGTATACCGTATATTACCAACCTATCAGTATTGTAGCTCATATCCAATCATGGGGGTCCACCTTTCCTCCCCCCCGCATCCCCGTGGCCCATCATGGCCCTGGCACCGCGTTGGGAGGATTGTCGGACTGCAGCAGCCGCTGGATCTCCCAAAGGCTTGCAGGCTCAGCGACCGGCCATTTGCCCATGCGCATGCGGCGTCTCAGAGCCTCCCAAGCTGGCACAGCCCCCAGCCAATATTAATCTGAAACCAAGCTGGAACCGACTGATCATTATTTTGCTTGTTTATCCACGTGCATCCCTTATTAGATGTTCATCCATTTCATGGGTCGAATGTCTGCATAATCAGGATCAGTTGGATAAAAGGATATTATAGGTATGGTGACTTCATGGGATGGAATCTAAAATCCCTGGGCCAAGTGACCAAAACTCAACCACTGTGAATGATCCGAAGGCTTAGCGCCGCGCCTGGGAATGGGCTGCGCGCACATTGGAGAGACCTAACAGCAGAACCAGCACACCGGCCACCACGGCGAGCCAAAACCACACCTCCAGTGGTTCGATGTGGCGAGTCCACGAGTGTTCAACGACTGTTCAAAAGCTGGCCATGGAAATCTAGTCAGGTTCAGAGTCCCTGATCCATCCTGATCCAACTATCGGATCATGGTGAATATTAAAACTATTAAAATAGTAGATGCCATCATGCTGCATCTTCAACTCAGGGACAGTTAGACCGACATTTTTCAGACATTTGTGGCAGTCCCACCATCCCCATCCCCATCCACCCCGGAGGTCTCTTGGGTTCCCAATGGGCGTGGCAGGTGGCAGGTGCGAGCAAGACACTGACGTCTCGTCCCAAAAGGTGGACAGCTGATCCCAGTAGAAGTAGGCTGGGATTGCCTTGGTGGCTTGAGAGGGCTATCATGGCTACCCTCTGGTTATGTCAAAATAGCTATTGAAAATGGCCCAGTCGAAATAGTGGATTTACCCATTAATAGCATGGTGGATCTTTCCATAGTTATGTGGCTGTTTACCAGAGGCTATCTGTGACTTGATAATTCCCTGAGAAATTGGATCGATGATGGTGATGAAGATGATGATGAACATGAGTGCGTCTTTGGTGAACTTGGAAATTCTCACACCAGATCGTGTCAGAAAAAACAGAGCCCCCCTCAAACTCAGCAAGGTGCAGGGACCACTACACATAGCAGGCCACAGCAATAGGTCACAGGCGCATTGTAGCAAGGATCCCATCTGGCGTACCAATTCTGGCCATGCTGTTGTTCAGGTCCGAGGAGAGGAGCCATGCTGATTGTTGCACGGACAGAGCCAAATGCTGCATCATTGCCATGCTACTATAATATCTATCTACCTCTATATATATAAATATATATACATACATATACATAAATATATATAAATAATATAATATCTATGTAATACCTAGGGGATTTCTCACTGCCAGGCTTGACCACCGGCACCCAGCGAAAAAAGACTTCCCACGGCTATCCCAGGTTCTCCTCAAAAGTTTACCATGCACCAGTGGTGTGCCTCCCGAAGCCCGTTCTTCTGCCGATCCAAATTCACCAGCTCTTCTTGACTCTGTAGCACCTGGATGGAACCGCCGAGGTTACCTGAACTTTGATCCCCGATATCAACCATTTTGTTTCAATCCGAAGCTGTGAAGCAAGAAAGCAAGGGGTTGAAGGTGAAACACGTGAAACTCTTCCTTACCAATTTGCCATGCATTGAGACTCACGCAATTTCCCTGAGTGATGAACAAATGGTCAGGCCGTCCACTTGACCATCACCTCAACTCTTCCTTTCCGCGCCTTTTGTGGTCAGTTCCCCACTCATTTCCAGCCATCATTCACGCACACACAAACAAGTGAGCTGTGTACACAAGGTCTTGTTCTTCTGAAGGCGCTAAGGGAATGCTTATTCTGAAAGCTTACGCGCAAAAATTACACGCCCGCAGTTTTAGCTTACGCTGATGCTTTCCAGGGTTCTGCTTACACGAGGTCCTTAGTGCCACCTTCTTACACAAAATTAACAAGGAGGTTTTGGACGTGGCTCAATTGGATCACCATCAAGATAGTAGTAGAGATGTACTTTTCCCCTATATAATATCTACCCTCATCTGCAGTCATCCTTTTCATCAATTTTCGGGCAAACTCAAAGACACCGTTGGCCATCTCCAAGTATCTCTGGCTAAAGAGCCCCTATTACTATAATGGCAGTTGTTGTTTCACTGACCATAAACCCCAACATTCTTAAAGGAGTCCTTGGAGTTTCATGCTTTTTTAAATCTATTAGTTGATGATAGCTGATGCTTGATCATCATTTTTCCCCAGGAGTTTCTCCATGATTTCATGCTCTATGAGTTCCCCATGCAGTCCTCCCAAGAACCGGCGGCCGCCCGTTTTGCTCCGCTCAATCTGAGTCGGAATCTACGCCCAGTGAGGCCGCAAGGCGTAGGGCCAGGTCGCAAGCCCGGTCCTTGCGACTTTGGTGGTCGCGCATCTCACGGATCTCCTGGAGATCTGCAAGGATTCGATTCTGAAGGGCGAATGTTTTCAGTGAAATTGGCGATCTTTCAGTGAAATTGAAGCTAATAAACATTTTGCACAACTATGAATATCTAATATAGTAATTACCTATTAAAACATATTCCATTTCTTTTTATGATCCAGTTAATTAGATTTCATCAAATCACAATCTCGCACTAGCAGTACCAGTCAATGTGGGTCTGATCCCTACTCTCCAAGTCCTTCATCTCCCGCGCAAACTTCTCAAACTCGTCGGCTTCTGCAAAGTCATCATCCTGAAACTCGTCACATGTTAGAAAACAACCACATGGGGGAAACAATGGGGGGAAACTGACATGACTTGGACATGGCATTGCGCACTGAACTGCCTCAAATATCTTCAAATCACCAAAAACATCGCCCCACATCGCCCCACTGGTGTGTCAGGCCCTGTATGGCAGGCCTGGATCCGATCATGGACCTTCTCTATCTGTACCGGCTCTTTGCTGTCTGCTGGTTTGCCCTGCAGTGCTGGGACAGCTTGTGCAGCCAACAAAGCAGTGCCATCATTGCCATCAAATTAACCTATGAGCATACTCAAACCATAGCCGCATCCACTTTTGACACATGGAACACCAACAGACCCCCACACGACCGCAACGTTTGCCTTGGGTGCTTCAGTTGCATCTGCTAGGGCGGTGTAGCCATTCCTCTTGGCATCCTCTTCAGCCATGGGTTGCTGGCTCTCCGCTGGCGGCTTCTCTGCGCTCGAAGCGATGGGCTGCATGCCCGGCCAGGAACTGTGGCACTCAAGGGCCTGACGGGATTTTTGGTGACAGGATGTCCCAAGGTTCACCCTCCCTGCTGCTACAGCAAATGTTCTATGATTCTATTTTGTCTGCAAGTTTGAAGTTTTTTATTTTCCGAAACTCTTCATAAATCTTCATCTCGCTTGGAAGAAGCCAGCAGTGCTGCCAGCAGTGCTGCGGAGGCTCCCAGCCTCCATTAGCCGAAGCACTGAGTTCTCCGAGTCCTCATCGAGCAAGCCTGCCACACGTAGCTACAAGGAAGACAGGGCTTGGAAGAAAATGGTGCTGTCAGAAACAACATGAAACAACCGGGTCATATTCTGTGTGGCCCTGCCACGATGCCAGGAAGAGACGCCTGCGCGCCGAGATTTTTTACACCGGATGAAGCTTTTACACACAGGAGCGCCCGCACACGGAAGCGTTTCAACACAAATGGCACCCCCACAAACCCGTTAGGCCTCAATTAGAAGGGCTTCCTAGTAGAACATGCGGGGAAACTGGTTCTTCTTGAGAGTCCAAGTCCAAACTAACACTTTTCTGGACATATTTTTTTGAATGTGAGTTTCACTGCTTTCGGCAACCTTTCAGATCTTTCAGGAAAATGAATCGAATTTGATTGGCTCATCTTTCGCAGGTGGTTGAACCTCTGACTTCAGGGCAACCGGGCAACCACTCCGCCTGTTCGTCGGCTTGCAGCAGGTTGTTGGCATCTTTGCTCCAACATCTCCAGGTCGGTGCCGCTAAGGGTACAACCTGGTTCCAACCCCAGTTTTGCACCACAGCAGTGGGACCAACATGGACCAATCCTATCAACAGATGAGTTTCATAGGCCAAAAAACCCGACCATTCACCATTCACATGTTTATCGCCTGGAAATCATTGCACTAAGTGCACGGAAAAAAAGAAGTACCAACACATCCTTTCATCGTTTTTGGTCATGGGCCACGAGTATGGATCAACATTCAATACTCAGAAGGCCACTCTCCTACCCATCCGCTTTTTGAAGAATTGCAGCAGTTCCTGGTAGTCCCAAATGTCTTGGCCAAGAGCCGCCAAGTGACTCAGATATTCGAAACCCTGGTCGATGCACCATTCTCGTGCCTCAGTAGATTGGGGTGGGCTGGCACCAGGGAAGAGATGGTGCCCAAAGCAAAGGTCCGTTTGAAGATCTACGTGAAGAAAGCCAAATACCCCCAAACAAGTGAATCTAGGGGTGTGGGCGGTCTCAGATTTATATCGAGCTGCAAAACTTGCGAATCATTTTTTGAGGTGCTTCCATTTGCGAGTGGATTGTGGTCAGCCAGTGAAGTCGTCGTAATTTTTCCTTCAAAATTCTGTTGACACGCCCATGCCCTGTCAGTTAGACGCCCTGTTTTGGTGACTGAAACTCTATTCCGGGGGTTCAAACCTCATTCGGTTACGTTGAATTGCACACACACATATATATATATAATTATATGCTGTATATATATATATATATCTACACACACACACATATATATATATACACGTACATTCAATTGCCAATTGCATTGCGCTCCATTGTGCTGCATTTCATCTACTATATGGGTCTATATGGCATACAGTATAATGTTATATATATATATTATCTATGTCTATTATTAACCCATGCAATGCATATGACAGCATCATATGTCTACATATGTTTATACACATGCAGTTACCATAGTGAACCAAGAGCATCCAAGCATCTGCATCTTCAACTCCCTCGCCAGCATCGACAGCCAGGCAGATCTGCACACGGTCTGGCCCGTCGTCCTTGGCGCTGAGTCTGAAAGTTGGAGATACCGCCAATTTTGCACCAATTAGTAGCAATTAATGGCATTTCAACAATATTCGAAATGGGAAAATTATGGAAAATGCGGGTTTCAGTTTCAAACCACTGCATGTTTTGGGTACCTTATTTTTAAACCAACCCAAATGAAACTACTATGAAAATCCATAAAAATGCCCCTTGGAGGGATAAGCACTTGATCTAAATATCGCAAATATCGAAAATGAATGAAAATGAAGCGATCCCCACCCATCTTCAAATTCCTGCTGGTATCATTTCGATTGCTCAGTCTGGATTCTAACTATGTGGCTGGTGATCCGTTTTCACTTGGGTCACACTTGTCCTCCACTTCCTTGAAAAATCGCTGGGTTCCCCCTATCTTCAACGATTAAATCATCTTGACACATCTGTATATTCAAAAATCATCAAAACCACAAAGATCATTCCAAGATCTAATGAAGACCGACCAAACACCCAACAAAATCCATCAACAACAGAGTAAACATCCACACAATTTCATCAACAACCACATCTTCAAAATCCCCACCCAAAAGATAAATCCGTCAACATCACCACACATCACAAATCTATCAACATCAACAAATCACCATCAACATCAACGAATCCTCCATGCCTTGCATAGCAAGGCTCCAAAGTTTCCGCTGGAAACAACGCCTGCAGCTGCTTCAGCTGCTCTTTCTGCCGGTCCCAAAGCAGCACCAGCGCCTCTGCTGTTTCGAGCTCTTCCGCCGTGGCAGCGCTGGTGGCCACCAAGCGGTACCTGGCGCCAGGAAACAGCTTTTTGATGGGATAAAAAAGGGGAAAGCCTACAGAGTCTACAGGAAACATCAGGAAACTATGTTTTTTTTGGTTGTCTTGGATGTTCTTTACATCATTTTACATCCCAAACAAATATATTATAGGGGTTGCTGGTTCCTTGATGCTTTGCTTCAACCAAGTCTGGATGGATATGGGCACCAGGAGTTTGGGAAGGCCTGATTTTTGGGAAGAAGCTGGTGATTAGACTCAGAGTGGTTTGATCATCTTTGATCTACAAGATTTGGCCCGTTGGTTCTGAAAGAAGGGTCTTCGAGCTTCGGTTGGCCATTGATTAGTACAGTGTTTTCTGGATCAACATCAACACTCAACCATTTGTGTACCTTCAAGGAAATGGCGAGCATTGCCGTTGATTCCCAATAACACCGGCCATCTTTGGACGACCAAGGGGCTGCACGCGAGCCGAATAGTACTTGTTCTTGATGACTCCCAAGGCTGTGTCCTTTGACTCCGTCGAGCTGGGCACTCCCAGGGCTTTCAGCAACTTTTGGCCAATGGCCACATCGCCAACCAAGAGAACCACAGGAAGGCCCTGCGACTCCTGATAGCAAAGGGAGGCTGGGCTGAGGGCAGCTGCCAAGAGACACAGCTACACATATGACATATGAATACATATCTGGTTGGTGGTTTCAACCCCTCTGAAAAATATTAGTCAGTTGGGATGATTATTCCCAATATATGGGAAAACAAAAAAACGTTCCAAACCACCAACCAGATATGAAATATATCAAAGTGGTGCAGATGACTTTTGAAAACCTCTCTCTGTTTTTTTTGGGGGCAATCCAGCAAACCCACATGGTTGATTGCTTATCATTGCAAGCTGCGCCATTTACACCACTAGTGCAGTGTGTAACCTCACCATGCACACTGACCCACCTGGGCCCCAGCAATCGTCATTGAGGACCAAGACTAGCTCAATAAGATGGGCTCGAACTAGCGGCAATTTCAACTCGCTCGGCGATTCATCTGCCACCAATCCTCTGTCACATTTGTTCAATGAACCCCACCTGCGAATATCCTAGTTTTGTCCCATCTTGGCAGCTGTTGGAAGTTCCAATGGCATGGGGCTATTTTTTGTATCACGCTGTTGGGTCTGTGACTTCCAAACGCTTTCAGCCAAAATCTGCAGGGGATTCGGGTCGTGCACCGTTTGTCAGCGCTCTTGAAAGCAGGTTGTTTAGTATGATCTACCTCGAATACCACCCGTACTTCTTGCGATTGAGTCCACCCTATGGTAATTTGATATACGTAGCTAGATTGAGAATGGCCCATTTATAAAATTATGTACCAAACTATTGAACAATTTAAATGCTGATTATCACTTGATTGTCCATAACTATGCCAATTCACCAAAGGGTACAGGGTCCATAGCTATGTAACCCAGGGATGCCCAGGGAACTTTTGCACCTCATGAGCCAGTTCTTCAATTCGTAGTAGGCGTACGCGATCCAGCGCCATGAGGCTTGTGCTTGGACTTCGCTGAGTGACCACGGGTCGCTTGGGATTGCTCGTGGATCTTGTCACGCTGCAACAATGCCGGTGGGGGCGTCAAACATGGGCTGTGTTCTCTGTGATGTGCCGAATGCCGAAGTGGCTCAAGCAGTGAATTATATGAAACGCCCCAGAAAACAGGATTCAGAGAGGATCAAAGGCAAGACTATTTGACATTCTTTGGAAAATGTGATGGTCATCGCATGTGACGATTAACATGCAGTCATTAACAGGCATCCATGCCCCTACGATCCCCTACGCTTGAACCACAGTGGTAGTACACGTTGCAAGGTCCGCAGAGTTGGAGCTGGCATGACCAGGTGCAAATCTACACATGTTCGCGTTTTTTTTCATCAAGCATCTATCGATTTCTCAGCATGTGTTGAAATGATTTGAAATCTGTTTTGATCTATTTTGCTGGGCACATCTGTCCCAAACTGCCTGGCAAATCACAACAGCTCAGGCAACTATCATAACACATAACTATCTCACTTAAATCATTGGTGCAATTTCATCCTGAAGTTTCATCCAACTGGTGCTGTTCAGCCCAACTGGTGCTGTTCAGCTGCAGATCATACATACCAATGGATGGACATATCTCTCACTTCGCCTCAGAAGATTCTCCAGCCGGCGTTTCCCATAGCTTCATCCCAATCACGCTGGAATTGCTGCAGCAGGGCTCGTTCAGAGTTGGCTTTGATCACCTCCAAAGACCACTGTTGATCTCATGAACCTACTGTTGTCCTCCAGCGAACCATATAGAATTCAAATGAATTCAAAGGACCTACATCTTTGACAGTGTGGGAAGATGGAAGATCATGAACATATATGAACATACTATCCATTGGCTGACTTTCATCAAGACCTCCCCGAGCAAAGTATTCACGCTCGAATTTATGATATTTCTGTTGTTCTGTTCTGGTCCAAGTAGCTGCTTTCGCACTGTACGCAATGCGCCGCGCTCGCAAACGACAACCCTCGTCAGTTTTCTCGGCAATGAACTCCAAACCTCCTGTCGCACAAGAGCTGCGGCTTCAAACCCCAACATATCCTTCCCAGCAGTGATGGGACTAGGGACAAACTTAACGGAAGTCACTCAACAAACTCTTAAGAAAGTCAGGACTAACCTTGGTTTCGTCCCAGCTAAAAAAACACAAGCAAATCCACAGCAAAATGGTCTGCTATGGTCTGCTATAGTCTGCTTCAGTAGTTTACTCAGAGATCTCAGAAGCAGCTTTTGGCACACCCAGATCTTACCAATGGCATGTCCTTCATCCAACTCGTCCATCATCTTGGCAGTTGGGGTTCCCACGGGGCGAAAGCGCAGTTCGCATCCCGCCGCGGTGGGTTTCTGTTCCATGGGTGTCTTCATACCGAAACGGAAGGATCCATCGATGAAAGTGGAAGCCCACTGCTGCACAAAGAGGGCCTTGGCATGGTCAAAAGTCCCAGGATTTCCCCGGACTCAGAGAAACAGCACTTGTGATGGATGTGGTTTTGATGGACTTGGAACTTTCTTTGGCGCCACAAACTTCCGACAAGGCCTGGTTCAAAAATGGCCTCTGGCTTAAGAGCTTCAAATTTGGAGTGAACTGTGAAACCAAACGCCCCCTACTGATGTTTTGGGGGATCAAAACCCTGGCACATGACCTTGTTCTCTACATGCCCAAAACGAAATCAGCAGATTACTTTTGTTTAGCAGCAGTACCCTCTGGTAAACTGTTACATAACTATGGAAAATCACCATTTTCAATGGGAAAACTCACTATTTCTATGGCCATTTTCAATAGCTATTTTGACATAACCAGAGGGTAAATCTTGTTCATCATCACCCACCCATTCTTGGGCACTTTGAGGTTTTGACCCACGACCTCCAGCTGAATTCCAAGGACCATCCCATCCCATCCCCTCTAGCAACACGTCTTGACCATGGCGCCATCAAAATCACTACCAAAATAGTACAAAAATGTAGTTATATAAATTTATATCATATATATAATATATAATTCTGGATAACCTATGGTATCCTACAACAGTATGGTACGAGTTTTTCACCAAGCTGAACTAAGGACATTTGGACCATTTGGGGATGCTTCTCCCCAATACGTCGCAGTGAGGTCATCATGATTTATTCAGAATATCCCCATATATCCCCGTGATATTCTCATTGTATCCCCGTTAGACCACCATTTTTGACAGTCACCATGTGGTTGCTTAACTAAGATGCCCTTGGGAAACTCGTAGCAGCCTCCTTGGCTCCCCCTAACCCCTAAATCCCATGAGAATCCGTGGGTGAAGCATGGCCAAGTCACAATTTGTGTAACTCCCAAGTCGAATCCCATCAACATCCTATGATCATCTCACGAAAATCCCATCAACATCCCAACCAAATCCCATGTCAAACCCCTGTACCCCTGTAGTTCACATCAAAATAGCTGGGATTTATGGATGTTCATTCCCCTAAAAAATGGTATTAATAGGTATTGATCCATCCAATTTCTGTTCCCCATCTTCTGTTCCTTTTGACGGCCTGGGCACCGCCTGGGTGGCATCCGGCACTGCTTGGCGCCAGACCTCCGGCCCCACGCAGGGCAGCAGCAAGCGATCCCAGGGCGCCCGGGAGCCGCCGGGCGTGTCCACTACGGAGAAGCCAGCCTTGGTAGCCTCTGGTAATGTAACATAGCTATTGAAAATGGCCATTTATAGTGGATTTTCCCTTAAAAAATGGTGATTTTCCATAGCTATGTTAGTTTACCAGAGGGTAAGGGGAATGACATGGGCAAAATGGCGGGAAAATGGCAGGAACGTGGCGGGCAACTTGGGAAATTTGATGAACCGATGAGTGATAGATGAAGATGATGGAAACCATGATGATGACATATTGATGATGGAAAAATGATGAAATAGTAGATGACACACATGATTTGATGGAAAGCTGCCGGAAAAAATGATTGCAAACAATTTGATATGTGGGAAACACCATTGATGGAAACAGGACCGGGCATGGAAAGCAAAGTGATTGGTAAAGTGATGGCAAAATCATGATACATGACGTGATCGCGAGCCCTGCGGTAGATTCATCTTGAATATCTTGAACTACTTAAATTACCTGAATGTGCCTCCAAAGAACATCCACTCCGAAGAGAAGTGCGTTGAACAAAGCATCAGCCGCAGTTTGCAGTGACGTTCTGCCCTGCACCTGCAAAGCTTCAGTTTGGCCAGCTCCGCATGCAAGAACTCCAGTGACCACCCAAGCTGCAAGAGTTCTTAAAGAAATGATGACCGATGTATGTATATATATACATGTAGAGAGAGAGAGAGAGAGAGACAAAGAGAGATTCTGATGGGTTTCACCACCAAATACTTTACTTTGTTTTATATTTGTTTTAAAAACACGATCCATCTAACCCATGGCGGCATCATGTTCAACGTTGTTCAACCCAAACCCGCCATACCTCGGTCAAGCTCACTTCAACAACACCAGGTCGTTCTGCCAGATCCTTGGTTTGGAGACATGCACCACTTAGCAGCAACCAGAACCTATCGGAGTGAAGCTAGAGAAAAAACCACCTGGTAAACCAGGGTTTTGGACGGCCGTTGGTCCCAAATTTCCTGATCTTTTTCCCTGTTGGACAACTTTCATCATCCAAGGTGCGCCAGCTCTAACCACCAAGACTTTCAGTGGCTGACTGGGGGGCCTCTTGCGAGCGTAGGCTGTAACCTCGTCTTCAAGACTCGCATAGCTGCCACTCTTGAAATCGACACCAAAGAAGGAGCCGACATTAAAACCTGAACAGCCGACAGACTATTGGCAGACTGTTGGGAAGAGGGTGGGCAGCAAAAACTCTCCCATTTTTTTTGCATCAAATGAACCTCCCCAAACCGCATCTGGTGCGCGTGGACTTTGAGGGCATTCCAATGTTCCATCATTAATTAATATTCTTCTGCGTGCTGATTTGTGAAATGTCCTCCATTGCACATCATTGCGCTATGTAGACATTAAGCAGGCGGAGTGCCACGAAGCTTTGATCTTGACTGCCCCCGCCCTGCACCAAGCAGCCACCAGTTCCTGCTTGCGCACCAATGGTGCTCAAAACTATGATGCGGTTCATGGCCATAGGTACACTTTCCTTAGTGGATGACCAAAACATATTCCCAAATTTTCAATGTCAATCCAACCTTTTGGGGCGCGTTAAGCATCAAATGAGCCACAGCCTGCTTTACATATTAATGACAATGGTGTCTATATACACATGGGCGACCATCGGCCCCTTTGCAAGACCACAATTGACACACGGAAATCCAATTGAACCTACCACATCCCTGCCAAAGGTTGACACATGACATGTGTCACGTGACGTTTTTTCTTTTTTGCTCAGGCACTGGCGTACCGCACGCATGGAGGACAGGCTTGAGGCCCGCATTTAATCAAGACCAAACTTCAGTTGAGAGTAATGGGAATCTGGGCCGGTATTCGGGCAAGTGTCCCTGGCGCGCTTGGCGCGCTTGGATCGCTTGGTCTGGCAAAGTGATGTGGGGCGGTCTTGGTGCAAGTGTCCCTGGCGCACTTGGGTCGCTTGGGTCGCTTGGCGCGCTTGGCGCGCTTGGCGCGCTTGGGTCGCTTGGCGCGCTTGGCGCGCTTGGGTCGCTTGGGTTGCTTGGGTCGCTTGGCGCGCTTGGGACGCTTGGCGCGCATGGCCGAGTGTGCCGAGTGTGCCGAGTGTGCCGAGTGTGCCGAGTGTGCCGAGTGTGCCGAGTATGCCGAGTGTGCCGAGTGTGCCGAGTGTGCCGAGGTTGCCGAGTGTGCCGAGTGTGCCGAGTGTGCCGAGTGTGCCGAGTGTGCCGAGTGCGTAGTGTGCGTAGTGTGCCGAGTGTGCCGAGTGTGCCGAGTGTGCCGAGTCTGCCGAGTGTGCCGAGTGTGCCGAGTGTACCATTGCTATGATAGTGAAATCGAATCCCCCAATGGTGACTGGTTATGATTTCTAGCACCTATGTGGATGGTGTAATGCTACATAGGCATGATTTATTTGTAGCTACATGTTATTAATATCATTTCCGTCCACCTATGGATTAAAAGCATATCATCCAGCTGGAATTCGGGGTGGGATGTCCCCAGCAACCTTGTGGAGGCTCGGGACCAGACTGTCAGTATCCGCACCATCAACAGCATCAAGCGCTCAAGCAACCCCATCAAAATAATCGTCATCATTGTTATCATTATCACGAGAACCATTGCAGTCACAATGATCTGTTTGATATTGAAGTTTTTGCACCAGTATCATCACGAAAACATTATTACCACTCATGATCATGATCATTATCAACATCATGATCATCATCACCATCATCACCATCATCATCATCACCATCGTTGTGGTTAATGATGGTAATGATAATAGCACAAAATACATTATATAATAATGAGAAAAATGGTCATCAACTAAAAAGCCCTCTGCAAATGTACAATCGAGTTTTGAGCGTGTGCATCACTGAGTCACTTTTTTTTGCGTGTACAGCCGAGGCAGAATTGGTTCTTGATTGTTGTTGTTTGGTAAAGAAAGGTAGGCTTCACTAAAACAGAATGCCAAAGAATCTCGATAATGATGATGAAACATGTTGATATACTATGTTTTTAATGTTGATAGTCCAAAAAAGAACTCATATCTATATTAGAATCATACTGTTAATGGAAGAAATGTTGCACCAATTGGTATATGGTTCATTCCATTATAATTTCGTTATAGTCCAACTGCTGCAGTGTTTCTTCCATCCACAGTTAATGTTTCCCGTATGACAGCATCGACCTAAGAACTCTCCAACGGTTCAGCCATCTTTGAAGCTGGGATGTCTGCAACGCGTGGCATCAGGTGTGTCTAGACCTTGGCCAAAGACAAAACGGCTGAGGAAAGGAACTGCGACGTGGAATCCAAAGCAGCACAGCAAAGTGATTTGTATCTATGCAGGCCATTGCTAGCTTGCTATGCATGAAAATCATGAGACTGCATCAGCGAGAGGTTACCAAAAACTGAGGAATAAACAAGCGAAGATAGGAAGGATCGCACTGAACCATCGTATCTGTTTGATCTTATAGCGTGTATATATTTCTATCTTTTGATGTGTGTGTGTGTGCATTTATCGGTAGAAATATGGTATATATCTGGTTTGATTCCACTGGGCTTCCGCACTGCTATCGGATGGTGTGCCTGCAGGCAGAGTCGATTCTTCTGTTGTCACTTGTAGTAAGCTTTCACGGCACAAAATGAAGAATGTTTGGAGGCAGCCGGATTAGAAAGGCAGCCGAATAAGTAAAGAAATACATCCAGGATGGTTTGGAGGGTTAAGTGGTGATGTTCCGAGAAACTGACCAGCGGCCACAGCAGCCTGCCCGAGAGTCAGTGATTGGAGTTGTGCAAGTGGATGAGTCAAGCAATTGATTAAATGGTCTTATATGAGGTTGCAAATGATCTCTGGAGAGGCGAAGCGAATGCAGGGAGATACCCAATCCAATGGTTAGTAGGGTTAGCATGGCAGGTGGATTAGAAGAGCAACTGGTGAAAAAATTAGCTGAGGTTGCAAGCGATTTTTTGAGAGTCAAGTCGAATCTTGGCAGGCTTTGCGAGTCGCAGCGTTGTTCGCTTGGGTCTCCACGGCTCCTGCGTGTGATTTCATTTGTTAAATTATAAAGGCAACACGTGTCTTCATTGTGTATGTATCCGATTATGGTCAATCGAAGAACTGGAAGCATTGTCTGAGCTTGGAAAGGAACATTTCCACAAAGCGACAGTGTATGCTTCGGCAAACTGTTTGGCTTCGCAGAATCTTCGATAGATGAAACTGTAAATGCACCTTTGCAGCTGGGATGTCTGCAACGCGTGGTGCAGCTGTGTCTCTAAACCTTGGCCAATCACAAAATGGCTGAGGAAACGAACTGCGATGTGGAATCCAAAGCTGCACAGCAAGGAGTGGTGTCCATGTTTGTGGAACTTTTTCCGGGTTCCAATTCTGATTGTGTGAGACTTCGGGTGGTGTCCCAATGTTTATCGCAAAATTTTGTGTCAAATGGAAAACACGTTTGTCTCAAATGGAAATATATTTTTTATCGAACTGAAATTGAATTTGCGGGAGGGAGATCTATTGGGATGAATCGATTTCTGGAGATCATGATCGATTAAGGCGTCGCAAGCACTGCAGTGGATCAGCTTGCGGGCGCAGTCTCAGATCCTAGTGTCCAATTCTGTAGAAGAGATCTGGGTTTCCGCGCTCGGTTTGGAAAGCTGACCTTCGCAGGTGCTGCAAGACAGGAGAGATGTCTTAAGACATCTGATTTGTTGGAGTTCGTAGTGACAACCTGAATGAGAATGCCTGAAAAAGAGTGAACACACTGAAAATGGCATCTGGCTGCGGTTTGAATCTCTGTAGGCGATTGCTAGCTTGCTATGCATGAAAATCACGAGACTGCATCAGCCAGAGTTTGCAAAACGCGAAGAAACAAACAATCACATATAGGAGAAATCGCAGTGAGCCATTTTATGTGTTTGATCGTATAGCGTGTATATATTTCTATCTTTGGTTTGTCTGTAGTAGGAGGAAGATGGTATATATACGGTTTGGTTCCATTTGTCTTGGCTCCCGCACAGCTACCGGATAGGTTGCCTGCGTGCACATTGGATTCTTCGGGTGTCACTTGTAGTAAGCTTAGGCAGCACAAAATGAAGAATGGTCTGCTAACAATTTGGCGCACGACTTTTTGCCATTCTGGTTGCATTGACCTTCGTTGTTTCTTTTGACATGGGTTCTCGCTGTGGAGTTATGTCTGAGCTATGCTCTGACGTTTTCCGTGGAGGTATGTCTGAGCTATGCTCTGACGTTTTCCGTGGAGGTATGTCTGAGCTATGCTCTGACGTTTTCCGTGGAGGTATGTCTGAGCTATGCTCTGACTTTTCATGTGTCTCTCAGTCGTTGATCTGCATGGGTGCTCTGGCTTGGCGTCCGTGAGCAATGCCCGTGGTCCTCTGGGTTTTGGTTTTCTTGCTTGAGGTGCCCCCGTAGAGCCGCTCGATATCAGCTGGGTTCAGATCAAACTTGAATCTCTCGGGGTTGTTGGAAAGGAGGAGACGGCACACATGGCCGCGACTGGAGCAAGCAACGTTGAAGTGCGCACAACAGCTGCGCAAGGCGCGGGTCCGATCTTCACCAGCCAGGCCAGCGACGTCGATGCTCTGTGTCAAACCTTCCAGCAAAAGGTTAATCGCCACTGTGCTGTAGATGGTTCCTTTCACCTCTGCAACTCCTTTTTCTGAGGGCATGCTCAATGGCCAATTTGTGTCTCTGACGTGCCAATTGACGAACCATGGATGTGTGATGTGATTCCAAGTTGTTGCTTTCTGGTTCTTTGCCTGCCAGAGTTTGCCCAGCATCACCGGTACGTCGTGCAAGTCCGTGAGGATGGTAGCCATCTCTTGCTGCTGGTGCTGCAAACAGGATTCGATGAGGTCGGTCACCCGGTCGATGAATCTGGCCATGTCTGAGTTTGTGTTCAGCAGGCTTGCAAGCAATAGGGCGGCGAGCGGCGTGGATCCAACAGGCTGCGCAGCGGCGGCGAGTCGGCTTTCTGCGTCGGCAGTAGCCCAAGTTGGAACTGGTCCTGCGTCAGCCCAGACTCCCTTTGTTTCTTCTGCAGCTTCTTTTTCATACTTCTTGTTGTCTTCTGTGGTTTCTTCTTTCGCTTCTGTGATCGCTGCCTTTTTCTCATGTGTTTCCATTGATTCTTCTGGTTCGTCCCTGTGTTTGTCGAAGTGGCTCCTGACTTCTGGCGGTCCTTGGAAATGAAGCTGTTTCCTTTTGTGGTTCTTGCAGAATTTGCAAACCAAATAGTTTGAGCCATCTGTGGCGATGCGAAGTCCGAGAGGAATGAATCGTCGCAGTTCCGACGGGTCCAGGTCTGCGTACCAAGGCGTTCGGGCTAAGTCGTGAATCTTCTCAATACTTTCTGATGTTAGTTCCATGAAGGCAGGCGGGGCCGAATCCCTGGTATCGCTGCTGGAGCTTGCGGCTGTCTCTGCTGGAGCCAGCGTGCTGCCAGAAGATTTTTCTTGCGCAGTGCAAGCAAGAAGGGCTTCGAGGTGGGTTTTGAAGCCGTGCTTCCATCCCCAAGCACGTGTGCACGCAAAATGCGGCAAGTCGTGCGGCAGCGACATCACATGGCCATCCATAGGCACGGCAATTCCCTGGGCGTCGACCATCTGCTTCTGAGTTGCACCTTCTGTTTTCAAAAGCATCTCTAGGAACAAGAAAATTGGACCATATGTTGGAGTCCAATTCCAGCCGTGCTGCGGCTCGTTCCCGTTGAGGTCATTCTTGATCAGGTTCCAGAGATGTCTGCAGAATAACATGTAACATTTGGATAATTGAGTTTGTCTTGTGTTGCAGCAGTGTCGGATGGCTGCGGTCATGAGCGGATGCATTGGGCTGCAATCCAGAATGCAGCCCTGGAAAATGTGGTCTTTTTTTTGCCCAATGGCTAAAATCAGATGCGGTGTCTGAGCTATGCTCTGCACACCGAAGGCCTGAGCTATGCTCTGGCCCGTCTCTGTAGCATCCCCCTGACGGTAGATGTCGCTGAGCGTTTCTTGGAGGGGTCTCAACAATGCCATCTTGATATCCAAGTAATTGCCGCCACGACGTCCCAAGCGCACGTAGCGCCAAAAGTCGGCCTTGTGTGCTCCACGTTGGAATGTGTTGTATCTGTCAAGGAGGTCTTGCCCCCCCAAAGAGAAAATGTCAGTGGCGCAGCCATTATCCGGGACGAATTCCCGAGTCAAATGGGGAGCAAATCGGGACTTGTTCTCTGCAGCCTGGTCGTGGTCCTCTGTGTTGGTTTGAAATAGCAGAGGCGGAGGCTGTCGCAGGCAATGGCAATAGACTGCGAAATCTACCTTCTCACTGCTGTGCTGAAACACAGCTACCTTGAAGCTCTTCCAGTCCTGAGCGTCACACAGGTGGCGAAGGGCCAGCATCTCGTCTATGTGTTCTTTTTCACTCACATTCCAGCCCGCGCACACCAGCACTGGGAAGCGCTCAGCGGGGAAGTCTTGCAATGCGACTTGGACAACTGTTTGCATCGCTGTTGATGCCACGGCTGCCTTGAAGTGCAAGGTCCTGCCTTTGTAAGCTTCTGGAGCAATGTGCATGATCGGTGTTTTTGTTTCCGGCACCTGCCATTGGTCGCGGCCGCGTTCCAATGCGTCATAAGAACGCTGTGGGACCGAGTCTCTTGCAGGGACTGCCTTGCAGCAGACGGCAGCGTCTTGGTGCAAGAAGTCTGGATTTTCTTTGATCCAGTTGGACAGCAAGGTCAGTATGCTCGGGCCTGAGGTTCCCTTTCTAATCAAGCTGCCTCCGCAACTTATGAAGGCAATCGTTTCCTGGACCACCTCCACACCGTTGCCGGAGACAGCCCGCGAAGGTAGCCATCCATAAGCTGTGGAGTCTGACAGCAGAAACCTTTTGGCCATGGCGGAGCAATGCTTGGGGTCTTTGTGGGAAAGAGTGCGGCATACCATTTGTTGCTTTGTTTGCTTGTGCGAAGTGTGTCTTTTGCTTTGTTTGTTATGTGTCCTGTCATGTTTGCATGTGTGTAGCATGCAGCATATCAGGTAATGTAGCATGTGGCATGTTTGAAGGTGTGTCCGGTGTGTATCAGCTGAGCAAGTCTTCGCCTGCTGTTTCTCTGAAAAATAAGGTGGCAACGGCATACATCACGTCAATCAGAAGCAAGGCTCAACTGCGCGATAATGTATGCCAGCATTCATCATTTCTGGGACACTGCTGCCTGGAGAAAGTGGAAGGTGTTCGTCAAATGCGCACTCGATCTCCTGGAGTAAGGACTTCTCTGAGGACATAGGATATATGTATATATATATATGGACACCCAAGACCTGTTGTGAGTTTGTGTGAAACGAAAAGAAGTGAACCCCTGAAAAAGCGTAGTGCTTTTAGGTGCACAAGAAGTTTTGTAACCTGTGCACTGAATGTGGAAGGCTTGACAAAGTGTAATTCCACTGGACCTTAGTCGACTGGACCTTAGTCGAGCAACGGTGTTTGACAGGGTGGCAAACGCGAACAGCAAGGGCAAGGTCGAGCTGTTTTGTCGCGGCCGAGCAACAGCAATGTCCCAATTGCTGTCAGCGGTCAATATAGAATAGCACATCTGAGCTATGCTTTGTGCAGCAAAAGAGTTTGGATTAAATCTATACTAATGTTGGTTCCTGATTAGTGTGAGGCTCCCTCCTCTCTTCTCTCTTCTGAACAATATCTGGACCTTATTTAAAGTTGAAAGTCAAAATTTTATTCCCAAGAGAAAAGCAAATTTCACTTAAGTAAGGATTGCAATTGGCTACAATTGAAATTTAATTAAAAGTGTGTTTTTCCGATGAACTTGTGGTATTTGCAGTACTGGTAGTATTTGTAGTACTTGTAGTACCTGTAGTACCTGTAGTACTTGTAGTACTTGTAGTACTTGTAGTGCTTGTAGTACTTGTAGTAACCACAGATTGCATAGCTTGCTACAATAGTGAACTTAGCAAAGAAACCTACTAAAGTGAAATGGAGCCTCTCCTGGCCCAGGGCCTTGGAAAATTGTGGAAAAGCTGGTCTTTAATAAGGGTTTAATAAGGCATTGGTCCCTTTGGGAAAGGCTTGGAGTTTGAATTTGGCAAGTGCTTTTGAAAAAAAGGTCGACCTCTCAGTAATTAGAGGTTGTTTGTTTTGGGAAAAAACTCTTTTTGAGGCCACAAAAGCGAACTCTCCAAGCAATACATGGGTTTCACAATAAGTTGGAAAATTTACCACAATAGCGAACTTAGCTACTAATCAGAGACCAACATGAACTGTTTCTGCACTGTCATCGGTTGCAGAGATCTGCGGGTGAGCTAGGTTCCAGCCCAAATGTTAAACAATGGTTATCTTTCAAGTGGCTGAGTGCCAAAACAGGATCGTTATTTGGCCACGGCATAGTTTTACCTGGCCTCAGGCATCCGGAAAGGAATCAGCGTTGAGGTGGAGTTTTTTGATCGCTTCGAGCGCGTCTTTGTCTTGATTAATCTCTGGCCAGGGGCGCTTGGCAAAGAGTATGTTGGAGTGACCACCTCCTTGATCTTTTTTCTTGGCCTAGAAGGCAAGTGGCTGAACGGAGACCAGCAGCTATATCGGCAAGAGTTGTAAGTGAGCGTGGGACATGTAGGAAATGAACGCAAGGGTGCAACATGTTTGTCCGGATCGCTCTAGTGCGTGCAGTGTCAGTCTGTGTGGGTATCGCGGTGAAAAAAGAATTACTTTACTTCGAGTCATCCCCGCCATGACATTGATACGCTTTGTTACTGGCAAGTCTTCTGGCATGTACTTTGACATTTTATCTGGCATACCTTCTGGCATTCTATCTGGCATTTCTTTGGGCATTGTATCTGGCATTTCTTCTCGCATTTTATGTAGCATTTTATCTGGTATTTCTTCTGGTATTCTATCTGACTTTCTTTTTTTCGTCCTATTTGGCATATCTTCTGGCATTGTATCTGGCTGTAGAGGTCCAGCGGTGCGAACGGAGCTCGGAAGGTCGCAGGTTGAGGTCCAGCGGATCTCGCTGATGTCGCAAGGTCCCAGGTTGAGGTCCAGCGGTGCTGGCTTGGATCGGAAGGTCCCAGGTTGAGGTCCGGCGGTGCCCACGCCCATCGCGCGCCGGTAGTTGTGGTCCAGCAGTGCCCAGTGCGCGTGGAAGTTAGCGAAGAGTTGTCAAGGCGGAGGTGGAGGAGAAACTGTGGGAGGCGGAGAGGAGGAAGAGGAGGAGGCGGAGGAGGAGGAGAACAACTGCATCGCTGCTTTGTTACTGCGTGCGTACTGAAGAAAGACCTAGTGTCTAAGTGTGCTCAGAATATTTAGTGTGAATATTGGTGTGTCACTGCGCTGCCTTTGTGTCTTCGGCAGCTTTGTCGCCCGCTTCCTCATTCGCAGCCTGTTGCTCTTTCCTTGGCTTGATCTCCAGCAGCAGGCGTCTTTTGATCAAATCTTTCACTGCTGTTTGCAGCTTCTTGGCCACGTCGATTGTTTTCTTCTTTCTGAAGTAATTCTTCATGGTTTTTCGGACTTTGGCGGTCTCTTGTACTGCATTTCCGGGGCAACGCGACAAGATTTCTTTCTGGATCTGTCCCATTTCGTCTTCTGGTTCAGGAGGAGCTCCTGGGCGGTCGGGCTTGTCTTTCATGTCTTTGTCCTTGTCTTTGACACATCGCGAGCGGTAGAAGGCAGCCCACAGAGCCATCTGGCTCTTCCATGCATGAAGGGCATGAATGAAGCTGAGAAAGGAAATGGGCTCGGCTTGTTCTGGTGCGGCGTCCTGCAGGATATCAGCGTGGAAGAAATGAAGAAGCCATGTAACTATGTAGGCAAAATCTTCGCTCAGAAGCAAGACGTAACAGCGATACAGAAGCATATGTCAACGCACTTTGATTCTAATGTTTTCTTGAGCAAAATTGGAAATTTAATGTTAGAATCCACAAGAGATTTGCTCCCACTGGTTTCTTTTTGTTGCTTAATGTAATGATCGTCATGCATGCACTCTCGTCTCCTGAGTTGTGTCTGCATCTGCTGGATCTTGTGGTTGCTGCCGTTCTGGATGTGTACGTTCATCCTGTAGTGTGGCAGGGCGACAGCGGAAAGTCATTGTAAGAATTTGAAGATATGTGAACCCTGGCTGTCCTGCTGGCGTTGCAGCTTCCACTGGCAAAAGTCTTCCATTCTTTGGCAGGCGCTAGCAAACCGGAGCCATTCTGTGTCGTAGTAGCGCAATTTCTGCTCATAGTGTTCGTGCATTTGGCCGTGGGTGGCGGAAAGGAATGTTTGAATAGCTTTGGCTGCCTCTCGGAAAACTGTTCGGGCAAAGCCATCCAAGGATCTGGATTGTATGTTCCCAGACGCGTTGCGTCCCATCCAAGCATGGAAGTCCTTGAGAAACTCCTTGGATGTGTCTGCCTTTTGCTCGTCATCTGCGAAGACTGGGACCACCTGATTGGCAACGAGGCAGGGTAATCGAATTAAGAGTGTATGGATCGGTGGATGCGGAGAGTGCAGCGGCTCCGCCTAATCTGTCTGAACAAGAACAACATTTGGATAGAATGCTATCTCTTTCCGAGTATGGTTTTTGTTTGGTATTGTTAAACAGGGGCCGGCTGCGCCGCAGCTGTAGGCAGCCTGCCAGCCAACATAGATGCGCTTGGCAAAGAAGGAGGCGTTGGGAGCTAGCACCTGCTCCACGAGAGGAATTTGTCCCCAGATCATGTGCTGGAAGGCGTAGTTCTGCAAGATCAGCTGGCCAGAGCCTTCGGCTGGTTGGATTCTCGCGGTAAAGGACGTGTTTCCTTTTTTTGTCGTGATTGCAGATGTGTCTTGACTTGAAAACGGATGCGTGGAAATGGGGGACAGGATATATAGGCAGTGTGTATACATAAAAAAAGAGGTTTGTTTTGGAATTCCATTGTTATAAATGCATTTAAAAATATTTAGAGACTTGTTTTAGATACCTATACATCTCACTCATGCCCACGCAGGCGAGCCTGTAGCCACAATGTCTGGCTCTCCGTTCAACCAGGTACAAAGTTTATTCACATCGATATAGTGCAAGCTTCCGGTTCCCTGCTTTTTATCGGTGCAGTAAGTGGTCGAAATCTCGTCGCTCACCAATCCG